GAGCCCAGGATCCCATTTGCTTTCTGAGCTGCAAGAGCACACTGCAAGATAGAGGTTTCCAATATGGACTGCAGCAAGAAAAGGCAGGAAAAATACCTGGGTTTTGTTAAAGCAAGGGTTAACACCAGCACTGCATTCGAAGCAGTAAAGCTATCACTGCTGACTAGAAGAATGCTGCCTTCTCTTACAAGAATTGGAAGCTGTTAGATTCACATTGCATTATCTTCAAAACCTTCCAAGTGATTCTATTTGCACTCTGTGGATTAAAAGAAAGGACTGCAGTGGCAAAAGCCACCAACAGACATGAGAAACACCAATCCACCGTGAGAAGTCACACTGAGGAATGCAGATTGCAGTTCTTATGGCACCTTATCGTGCACATGCATCACCCAGAGTTTGTGCCTCCACTTTAAATAAAGCCAGTTTGGGAATTACAACAGGAGTTAGAAGATATTGAAGGAAAAGGCAGTGCCTTAGCTATTAAAAAAGTAATTAAACACGTTTATTTACATATGGTTAACCTGGGTGATGCTTAATTTAACACAACAATCTGTGGCATTTTGCTCTCTATTAAGCAAAAAGGAGCCTGTGAAGGATGTTATACAGGAACAAAACACCTCGCTGATGTATGACACTCACAGATGCTCAGGAGGGATACAGAAACAGGCAAGGGCAAGCATGAGCACTCAGAACAAGCAGCAGCAGGTAAGCAGGGCAACAGGAGCCGAGCTTTAAACTCATCTACATGTTAATGGATATCACTTCAGCTGCTGCCAGAGGAGCTCTGCAGCACAGCTGCAACCCATCACACCCCTCTGACAGCAGACTCAACACTTCTGCCTGCATTTCCATTTTGCTATGCTGTGAATGTTGACTGCATTTATTACACAAAAAGGGCAGCTGGGAGCTCTTCAGTAGCACAGAGCTTAGAGAAGTGATTCACCTCAGCCTCAGGAGCTGCCTCTGTGCCAACCCTGGGCTCAGCACAGCCCCTCTGCCTTTTAAAACAGCTGCAGAGATGTGGAATTGCCTCTGTGTCAAAATGCATCTTGATTTAAATTGCTGTTGAGCTTCATTAACACAGACTTCGCTTTCCAGCATTTTTCTGCTGAGTTTATCACAACAATTTACTCAATAAATCATGAGTCAGGTGTACTACAACACTGGAAGCCATCAGGGGCTCTCATTAGAGCTGCTGGCTGTGTGTGCAGGCTGCACACTCCATCATTTCTTGGATCATTTCCCTATTGGGGTGAAGCATTCAGCAAATGCACAGACCACTGCCCAGCAAAGCCAAGGTATGTCTTCCTCCACAGTGCAAAAAGGAAATTTTAGGTCCAGGTTGGCTGCTCTGTATCAGGAAGGAGCTGTGCTTCTTGAACCCTCAGATTGTACAAGAAAGAGGATTGCTCAATAAAACAAGCAGGTCTTATTAAAGTAAGTGGCAAGATCATGAATATATATTTTAAAATACAAGTTGAGCTTTTGTAGTCTCTGAATTTCCAACCAGATTAAGATGAATGCACACAACATTCAATTCCTGGCTGCTCCATTGACCCTGCAAATGGAAGCTCAATGCAGTTGTCTTATAGCAAGCATCACAGACAGACAGCTTCATTAAATGACAGCAAACAGGCACTGCAAAGCAGGGATAGATTTAATCAAAGATGAAGAGCTCAGTGCACAGAGCCTCTCTTGTCTTGTGGGTTGTTTTTTTTGGGCATACTAATTCATTCACAGTGGAATCCACCATGGAATAGAATGTGAGCAGATTAGAGCACTTGCAAGAAAGTGGTTAAAACCAAAGTGACTTAACTAGAAGAGGAAATGTTCCAAGAAGGAAAGGCCATGTCTGGTCTCTGTGGCACTGGAAAATTCAAGTTCTTTGTGATCAACAAGAAAAACAAAACAAAGCATACCTACCAGCAGCAATGCCTTCTTCAAACTCACTTAATACGTGCAGCTCCATAACACCAAGTTCTGCTATTCACAGCTCAGCCCTGAGCATTCAGCCATGCTCTGTCTTGGGAAGCCAGCCAGACTTCCCAGAGCACTCTCATAAACCCGAGCCTAATTCCTCTCACATCCCCATGGTTCTTCTAACTGTCACCCTGACTCCTCTACAACTACTCCTCTACTACACCCCCTTGCAGGGAACAATAAATATACTCCAGTGCTCACCTCAAAACTTTAATATGAAAAAAATCATATGAAATAACTTAGGAAATACAGGGAAATCAGGAAATCGCTTGGATCTTCTAATTTATTTATTATCAAAAGAGAAAAAGTCAGGGCCAGATATTACCCAGTCCCAGTTAAGCATCCAGTTTCTTACAACTGTTACAAGGCAATTTGAACTTCAGGAACCTCCAGGACTATAACAGCACAAACAGCCATGAAATAAAACAGATTAGAGATGCATGCAAACATCTATAGAATCTTGGACTTCTTTGTGTGTGTGAAGCTTAAGCAGGATTGTTGTTGTTATTTATAAGGTCTGATGTGGTTTACTAAACAATTTATACACAAAGTTATCACCTGACCAGGCACACAGCAGTCAGATGCATCATGAAAGCATTCAGTCACTCCCATCTATTTCTTACTTAGCAAGGTTACTTACACTTTTCTGATGAATCCTGGAAAAAGTTGTGTATGGTGCCAAGAATTTGGTGGACACATTCTCATGAGGACAAGAAATGAGAATACTTTTCTAAGGGAGAAAAACAGAAGTGCTGTAAGTCCTTCTGAAACACTTGTAAACACCTAAGGCACAAACAACTTACAGTCACTGGTGATGAGAGAAGCAGAGAAATACTACCACATCAATTTCAACCTTTGAAAAGAACTCGAAGATCCCCAAGCCCAATCCCATCCCACCCCACTGCCCATGTCTCTTAGCACCACACCCCCACGACTTTGGAACATCTCCAAGGGTGGTAACTTCACCACATCTTGGGCAGCCCGTGCTGGTGCATCACATTTTCAAAGCAGATTTTTTTCCTACTTTTCAATCTGACCCACTCCTAGTGCAACTGGAAGCCATCACTCTCATCCTACTGCTGTCACAAGGGAGAAGAGCTCGACCACATCTCACTACAACCTCCAGAGACACCTGAGCACTGCACAGAGGGAGACCAGATGACAGCTACTATTTCAGCTGCACAAAGGCTGGGGCCCCTTCACCTGTGGAAAGCAGTTACTAACCCCACATTTCCCCCAGCCCTGTCACCTTGGTGACTTCGCCGACCACAAAGCCCTCAGAGGCAGTGATGTCAGGGATGCCCTCGGTGCTGAGCCCACGGCGGGTCAGGCTGCCATACAGCGTGGGCTTCCCTGCAGAGACAGCAGCCATCAGCTCACCTTCCTCACATTTAACCCACAAGGTTCATCCCTAAACTACCTTCAACCCTCTTCTTAACCTGCAGGTGCCTACGAACTATCCTCACACCCTCCTAACAACCCCCCCCAACAAATCATTCTCATTCCCTCTTCCTAACCCACAGCCCTCTGTCCCCCACCCCCAAAAAAGCACCCTCACCACCTCCTAACACACTGGAACAGGTTGCCCAAGGAGGCTGTGGATGCCCCATCCCTGCAGGCATTCAAGGCCAGACTGGATGTGGCTCTGGGCAGCCTGGTCTGCTGGTTGGCGACCCTGCACATAGCAGGGAGTTGGAACTGGATGAGCACTGTGCTCCTTTGTAACCCAGGCCATTCTATCACAATTCTATGACTCCTCTAAACCGTCTTCACCCTCTCCTCCTTACTCGTGGAGCTTCCCCAAACTGTCATCACTCCACTCATCCTAACTCACAGTTTCCCCTCATATCATCTTCACCATCCACCCAAACCACAGGCACCTCTCAAACCATCCTAACCCACGGGGGTACCCCCCAAGCCATTCTTACCCCTACACTTAACCCACAGCATCCCCCCCACAAACCTCCAATCCTTTCCTAACCTATAGTGCCTCTTGCAAAACCACCTCTACTCCCTCCTTCTAACACACAAACCTCCCCCAAAGCATCTTCACCCTCTCCTAACCCACACTGTCCACCCAAAACTATCTTCGCTCCTCTCCTAACCCATAGGCACCCTCCAAAAACATTCCCACCCTCTCTTAATCCAAACAAATCTCTTAAACTGTTCCTCACCAAATTATTCTCACCCCCCCCTTCCTAATCCACAAACTATTCCCACTCCTCAAACCATCCTCACCCTGTCCTTATCCCCAGACTACTCCCAAAACTGCCCTCATCACCTCAAACCATTCTCACCCCCTCCTAACTCCCACCAAACCATCTTCACCCACCTCTTCCTAATCCACAAGGCCTCACCAAACCATCCTCACACCCTCTTAACCCCATTTCCCCAAAACAAACCACTCTCATTCCCTCTTCTTAACCTAGATTCTTTTATCTCTCCCCAAAACTCCCCTCACTCCCTACTCACAGCCCACCCCAAACCATCTTTATCTCCCAAAACCCCCCAACCACCTTCACCTTACTCCTAACCTAGAAAGCCCCCTCCAAAGTTCTCCTCACTCCCTCCATCTAACCCCCAGATTTCCCCAAAACCATCCTAATCTCTCTCCTAACTCACACCCCCTCCCAAAACGCCCTCCGCTCTTTCCAATACCCCCTCAACCTTCCTTACCCTCGTATCCCCTCCACAACCACCCTTAACCCCCCATCCCCGACCCCACAGCTCCCAACAGGTCCCAGCCCCCTCAACCTCCGGGGTCATTTCTCCTTAAGTGCCTTCCCAGACACGAGCCACTATTCCACCCTTCAGCTCCCACCTCCAACCCCCCTCAGGCCGCACCACCCCTCCTAGGCGCACCACAGTCGCTCTCAGCGCTCACCCGGGCTGCGGCAGCTCAACCAGGCCTCGCCCTCATCCCTCCTGCGGAGAGAAAGACCGGCGGTGACCGCGGGGCCGGGAGAAGGAGATTGGGGCTGGAAAGGGACCGAGGGGCAGCTCCCACCTCAGCGCCTGACTCCAATCGCTCTGGATGCGCAGCGTCGCCGCCATCTTGACACTGCACCCCCTTCCTCTTCCGCCTTCCTCCTTCCCGTCAGCCCTCACGCGGGGCGGAAGCGGAAGATCCAGGCGCCCTCCAATGAGCGAGCGTTTCGCGACTTCTCCCCGCCCCGGAAGTGTCTACGCGGAAGTGAGCCTTAAAGGGGCCGCGTGGAGTTACGGGGGTATGGAGGGAGCTGAACGCCTATAGGGAATATTGGGGGAGGGAGGTTCTGGGGGCGCAGAGGAGGTGATGAGCCCTCTGGGGGTTGTATGGAGGCACTCATATGGATTTGGGCGCTGGGTGCCTAGGGAGGGATACGTGGGGAGTGTTGGGTGCTCTGGGGGGTTTTATGGGGTGTACTGGGTGATGTGGAGGACAACTGAGCACCAATGGGCGTGTGGGGTGAGCTGGGGGGCACATGGGGATGCTTAGTATTCGTAGCGGTAGGGGAGGTTGTGAATGTCCTTGAGGCACGCGGGGGAATAGTGGGTTTTATGGGAGGTACTGGGTGCTCTGGAGGGTGTGTGGGGGTTGCTGGGCACCCCTGGGGGGCACGTGCGTAGTTGTGGGGGGTGCAGGGGGTTACTGGGTGCCCATAGAGGTATAGAAGGTGCTGGGTTCCATGGAGGGGTGGTGCTGAGTACCCTAGATCTTACACGGGGCTGCTGAGCACTCGTAAAGGTATGGGGAGGTTCTGGGTTCACTGGGTGCTCTAAGGGTTGCATGGAGATTTCCGGGTACCCATAGAGGTATGGGAGGTGCTGGGTGCCATGGGGATTGTATGGGGTGTACCCATAGGCTGGGGAGGGGGGGAAGAAAGGTGGTGGTTCTGTACCACCCAAAAAGAAGATGCCCCCAATCAGGGCAGTCGTGGGAGGCAGCACCCTGATGTCTGCCATCACCCTCCATCCCCGCTCTAGGAACCGGAGTGATGGCAAAGCCTGGACATGCCTGGAGCCGTCCTAAATCGCAGGAGGAAGAGGAGGAAGACCCGGTGGAGGCTATGGTGACACGGACGGGCTGTGCAGAGCAGCACTGGGCACTGCAGGAGTGCATGGCAGAGCAGCGGGATTGGCGACGCTGCCAGGCTCAGGTCCAGGCCTTCCGGCAGTGCATGGCCCGGCAGCAGCGCCCACACCCTGAGGAGCTGCACCCCAACCCATCCCAGCACTCCCCCCATGGAGATTGAAGCCCCCAGGACTGAACCGCCCATAGGGACACTGCACCAGGCACCCTGATACCTCTAACAGTCCCCCAGAGATGCTGGCTGTGCTATGGGACACATTTCCTGTTATTTTTCTTTTTCTTTTTTTTTTTTTTTTTTTTAAAGCAGATTGTTATCTTGATTCAATCACCTTAATTTTAAGCCAGGAAATTAAATCTGATGGCATTTCTCCTCCTAGCTGAAGAACTCGTGTCCTTCTCAAAGCACAGAGGGGATTGGTGCACTATGGCAGTACCATACAATAAAGGTTTAATCAATGAGGCAGCACCCCAAGGCATCCCAAATTGGGGCACTCACATCAGGATTTCCACTCTGCCTTTCTCAAAGCTTTCAGCCTCTGGAGGGTGAGCTGCTCCCTTCCGGGAAGGCCCAGGAATATTTGGGGTGGGAGAAGAAGGGAGGTGAGGTGCAGCCCCACTTAACCTCGGGGCAAATAAGCTATAAAAATGGACTCAAATCCTCTCTTGGTTTGGAAGGAAAACTTGAGATTTCTGCAGGTCATCTATAGACCCCAGGTACAGCAGGGAAACGGCTCATTTCCTGATGAAATGTATTAAAAAATACATCTTTTCCTAATCTCCTCTAAGCATTGAAAATAATTCAATTAGAGCGTAACTACCCAAAGGATGGTATGATCAGGTGGTCTCAGCCTAAATTAAAGCAGTGTTGGAATCACAGAATCGTTTGAGTTGGAAGGACCTTAAGGATCACCCAGTTCCAACCTCCCACCCTTAGGCATTCAGAAATTCAAGGAGCAGAGCAGAAACTTGGGTGCTGTAACCTCTCCCACTTCATGTCCTAGTAGATACATACAAACAGCACCTCCCCTATAAAGACAGGCTGAGGGAGCTGGGCTTGTTCAGCCTGGAGAAAAGAAGGCTGCAGGGTGACCTCACTGCAGCCTTCAGTAACTAAAGGGAGCCTGCAAACAGGAGGGGAGTCAACTCTTGGGTAGGGGAGATAACACAGGACAAGGGGAAATGGTTTGAAGTTGAGGGAGGGCAGATTTCAGTTGGATGTCAGGGGGAAGTTGTTTGCTGTGAGAGTGGTGAGGTGCCGGAACAGCTGCCCAGAGAGGCTGTGGATGCCCCGTCCATCCCTGGAGGTGTTCAAGGCCAGGTTGGATGGGGCCCTGGGCAGCCTGGGCTGCTCTGAAATGTGGAGGTTGGTGGCCCTGCCTGTGGTGGGGGGTTGGAGCTTTGTGATCCTTGAGGTTCCTTCCAACATGGGCCATTCTGTGATTCTGTTTTGCTGGAGCAGCCAAACTCTAATCCCACATTTCAGCACTGCTATGCACAGAGCCAGGGCTGGGGGAAGGAGCAGACAGGTGGTCTGGAGCTCAGTGCTAGCAGGGATGATCAGTATTCCTGTGCTGACACGGAGCTGTCGGGCTGTAGCTCTGCAAACAGCTTTTGCCTCTGCTTCCTGGAGTGCTGACAGCTTGCCACACTTTCAGGCTTTACTTTCTCTCTCTGCCTTAGTGCACCATTCTGGGAAATTCCCCAAACTCTGCTTGGTGCTTTCAAAGCACAGTGTTTTCTCCCTTTCCAAATGTTCTGGCTTGAGGGATCCATGGAGAAATATCTTTTATGGTGTGAAAGGCAAATCTGAAATCAAGGGATAACTTCGCATACACTGCCTGACAGATGGCTCCAACCTTCCTCCCTCTGCTGAGTTTTTTTTGTTAAGCTGCAATTGTTCAGCTGCTCAGGGATGCTCATCCCCAACTTCCCAGTGTTCTGAGGCTCCATTCATGTTGGCAGAGCTCTGATCTATGCAGCTGTATGAGAACACAATGTTCCAGCCTTCAACTGCAGAAAAGAGCACGACAGTCCCTTCCACAGCAGTAACATCTGGAAGAATTTGGGTTGCAATACTGGGGAAGTGTTTGGGAGTCTTTTGTCCTGGGAGGAGAAGGGCTTCTCGTTGCAGCAGAATCCCTGCTGGCTGTCCCCTATGAAGACAGGCTGAGGGAGCTGGACTTGTTCAGCATGGAGAAGAGAAGGCTGCGGGGTGAATCATTGCAGCCTTCCAGGACATAAAGGAGCCTACAGACAGGAGGGGAGTCAACTCTTGGAAAGGGTCTCCTGCAGGACAAGGAGAAATGGTTTGAAGTGGAGGGAGGGAAGATTGAGGTTGGATGTCAGGGGGAAGTTGTTTGCTGTGAGAGTGGTGAGGTGCTGGAACAGCTGCCCAGAGAGGCTGTGGATGCCCCATCCATCTCTGGAGGTGTTCAAGGCCAGGTTGGATGGGGCCTTGTGCCCCCTAGTCTAGTATTAAATGTGGAGGTTGGTGGCCCTGCATGTGGCAGGGGAGTTGGAGATTCATGATCCTTGAGGTCCATTCCAACCCAAACCATTCTGTGATTCTGTGTCACCTTGCTCAGACTGACAAAAGAACCAGTTGCAGATTTTGAGGTTCTATATTTCTAAGCCTCCTTGAATTCTAAGTCTCCAATTCTAGATCTGAGCAGTTTTGTCTAAGGGAGCAACTCAGGTTATCATTATTAACTTAGACACTTCTGTAGGCTAAAACAGTAATGTTCACAAACCAAAAGCAAAACATGCCAAAAAAGGAGAACTGAGAAAAGTGAAACCAAATTTCACTGTGGACCCCTTTCATTCACAATACAAACAAGTCAGATACAAACATATGTATTTGTCCTTATTAAGATGAGACGCTTCATAACGATGGAAATTTCTCATTGTCAGTACAGAGCTCACAAGGTCAACTTTCTGGAAGCTTGAGCAGCTGAGGAAGATCAGCCTTACATTCCCAGGGATGGCTCTGAAATGGACAGTGTTCTCCAACACCTCAGCTCAACTGGGCCAGCAGCTCTTCAAGTTCTGGTCGGGACTTCAGTCGGCTCTTGAAGTCAGTTTCTGTGTGCTGTAGAGAGGAAAAGAAACAGCACATCAAAAATCACCTTGAGTACTTTCCAAATCAAGAGAAAGATAAACCTTCTCTCAAAGTGAAAATGAAATGAAAAGTGAAAAGTGAAAGATTGAAATGTCAGCTGAACCAAGGTAGTGGGACTCCTTTGTGGCCACAGTTCAGCCTTGGAGGCTCCTCCTTACCGCTGCAGTTTGGATGTGAGTATTTCTGATAAAAAAATGACACAGGAAACAAAAAACTGGGAGCAAGTCATAGAACATGTGTTAAATGCAGCTATCAAACCAAAGTCTTCGAGTGAGAAATTACTTTTTGAAAGAGTGAGCATTGGCACTGTGCTCAGGAAGTTGGACACCTCCAGCTCTGCCACTGCCTATCACCACTGCATCTACGTCCTTACAGAGTCCTGCCACTTCCTCCAGAGCTTTGTCAGGGCATCCCAGAGCTTTAATCTCTCTCTGTGTTGCCAGTCTTACAAAGCCAGCTTGGGTCTTTCCCCTGGGCACCCTGCATCAGACTGCAATGACTTTGCAAATGGCACAATGTCACAGTTCTCCCTCCAGATACAAAGCTATCAGCCAAAATATATTAAAAAAAAAAAAAAAAAAAAAAGATGGCAGTCCTAAGACTGTGACCAAAGCAAAGGAGATTAGTGGACTCAAGAGACCTCCTCCCACATTCCTTGTGTTTTTGCAGAGCTGGAGATAACAAAATGTTCTACAAAGGCCATGTAAGAAAACGGCTTTTACATTCGAATTTAGTGTACTGCCTTCCCTTTCCAGCTGTAAAATCTTTTAGTCCCTGAATTAAAGGTTTCCTGGAACTGTTTTGACTGAACATAAAGCAACAGTAGTTTAAGTATTCCCTTATGCCTGGTGTAGTAAGAGTCCTGTTTAGGGACTATAATTCTGTCTTCAAGTCCTCAGTGCTGAGAAAACTGTTAGTGGTTTCTGCAGAAACAAGCAGAACCCTTCCCAGAGCAAATCCCATCAGAACAGGACACAGTATTTGGTTTTCTAGTCCCAGCTTTGCTACCAACTCCATGAAATTCCTGGTGACTCCCAGGTAAGAGGTTGTATGGCACTGTTAAAGAAGAGTATTCCCTTCTGAGTCACAGGGAATCCACATGAGCAAAGCAAAGCAACTTGCCATCTCCTACAGATCAATGGGCCTGGCTGGGAAGATACCTTCTGTGGTACTAATTATAAAAGGATAAGTGGGAAATAAAACTCCCATCAAGTATTAAAAGGAATGATGTTTGAGAGACCAAGTGAGAGCCATGGGAGATCCTGGGTGTCCATAGCTCTAGAGAAGACATTGGCAGCCTCAGGACCAGGTTCCTGTGTTTTTCAAAGCAAATTCACATCATGCATCATACCTGCATTCTAAATGCAAACACCCGGGTAAAATTAAGCATACCTCTTTCATTAACAGATGGACCCCTTCAGGCTGATTACTCTGAATAATTTCCAAGAATATTGGAGCAAACGTTGAGCTCAATCTGCTGATCTGAAAGAAGAAAAAAAGTGCTGCAGGAGCAGAACAACAAATGCAAAACAGACTTGTTTTACTAATGGCACAGAGAGAGAATCCATTTCAGTATGAGCCCTGGGCACTCAACTCCTTCATTAGAGAAGCACTCAGCTTCGTGTGCACACCTCTGTATAGCACAGCCCAAAGCTCTTGGTTTGGTTCTCTTTCATTTAGGTGAGACTCTACACAAAAGCAATCATGGCAAACTTGCAAGCCCTGGTGTTAACCTTGCACCAAATCTCTCTAGCAAAAAAAAGTCTGTGTTAAGGTTTAGAATAATTCAGCAGATACTCAGCATGCAGCACAGGAACATGCTATATGTATGCAGTAGTGAAGTGTCATTTAGGAGAAATACCTACTTGACTAACTGTACAATTTTGAAGCTGGCTGATACTAAGAGTATTTCCACATTTAATTGAGTTTGTTCAATTGTTCGTCCTCAAACATGACATTTCTACCCTTCATATTCTGCAGAAAACAGATATTAAGTTGGCTAGAATAGAATGACAGAATGGCCTGGGTTGCAAAGGAGCACAATGCACTTCCAGTTCCAACCCCCTGCTATGTGCAGGTCGCCAACCAGCAGACCAGGCTGCCCAGAGCCACATCCAGCCTGGCCTTGAATGCCTGCAGGGATGGGGCATCCACAGCCTCCTTGGGCAACCTGTTCCAGTGCCTCACCACCCTCTGGCTCAAAAACTTCCTCCTCATATCCAACCTAAACCTCCCCTGTCTCACTTTAAAGCCATTCTCCCTTGTCCTATCACCATCCACCCTCACAAACAGCCGTTCCCCCTCCTGTTTGTAGGCTCCCTTTAGGTCCTGGAAGGCTGCAAAGAGCTCACCCCACAGCCTTCTCTTCTCCAGGCTGAACAAGCCCAGCTCCCTCAGCCTGTCTTTGTAGGGGAAGTGCTACAACCCTCTGATCATCTTTGTGGCTCCTCTGGACCCTCTCCAACAGCTCCCCGTCTTTCCTGTACTGGGGGCTCCAGACCTGGACACAGTAATGCAGATGGGGCCTCATGAGGGCAGAGTAGAGAGGCACAAATTACACCTTTCAGTTGTTCAAGGTACTTAATTCCTCTTGTTAAAAGTTTTTGAGATATGAGGTGCTGCACAAGAGCTGCAGCACTATCAGCAACCAGGAGCTCATACCTGGACAACCCTCTGGTGGGTCGTGAGGACTGCATCCAGCTGCATTTTGGAGCCTCTCTCTTCCAAGAACAGCACTTCGTTGGTTTTGGTGGGCATCGCGTAGCTGCAGGAAGCACAGTCACTGCTTAGGATGGGGAGGAGAGATTGGCACTACTTTACAGGAACAAATCAACTTCCAGCAGCAGAGAATGTGGAAGGAGATTAACTTTTCATGAGAAATTAATTATGCAAACAATGTATCTTGCAAATCAAGCACTGGCAGAAGCTGGGCGCCTTACTGGAAAGAGATAAGGGAGAAGCTTGCAGCACTGCAGGCAGCAAAAACCTCTTTTAGCTACACAGAATCGTATGCAAGCTCAAAAAGAGAACTTCTAAATCCTGTATAGTTGAAGGAGAGCTTTAAGGCAAAAGTTCTTATTTATTTTGCAATCGTCTTTCTATTCTCATTAGGAACAGAGCTGAAAACACTGCTGCAACACATCATTCTTAGGACATTATTTTCACCTCTGTGATTTAACAGGGGTACAGAGACTGGATCAGACTCTGCTCTCCCCTAATTTATGCAGACACCTCAGCTTCCCTACCTGATGTTCAAAATATCAATAGCAACAGGCTGCATCCTGCTGCCCAACAGCCCCAGGCTGTGGGGTTGCTCTGCAAATGCTTTCAAGCACACTGCTGCTGACAGCACTCCCATTGCTCAGTGTCCTGGGTATCTTTCTTGAAAGAGACGCCTATCAGCTGCTGTTGTGTCACAGCTTTTAGTGCTGTTTGGTGCAAACGCATCACAGAGGGACTAAAATGATCTATGGACAAAGGATTTCAGATCTATGGCTGACTGTTCAAAGTGCATGAACATAAAGAAAATGGTTTTTGATGCGTTTTACCAGCCTCAAGCTGGGACCAGTGACTACAGAGGTACACTTACAGCTGTTTCAGACAAACACCAGTAAGTATTTTCACTTCCTTACAGCAGTATAATGATTCCAGCTCCTCAGATGCACTGCTGAAGCCAAGAAGCTCTGTCACAATCCTCAGACTCATTCAAACCAGCAGCACTTAGGCCTGCATTCCTGGATACAACATCCACAGCCTTTAGGTTTTTTTCCCCCAAAGGAATAAAAGGTAACAGATATTTTTCCTTGAGATCTGTTCAGTCATAGCCCATACAGTTCCACTGCAACCTTACACAAATAAAGCATCCTAAACTGTAGACAAATAAGCTAAAAGAAAACACCAAGAGAACAACCTCCAGATGATGGAAGATTGGGATTTTAAGTGAGCATCTGTCAGAGATTATATCACACCCTTTACTTCAAGCTATCCTCATTGACACGCCTCACACAGCCTACTGTAAAGTGATTGCAATAGATGACAAACACACAGAGCTGTGTTCTTTATACCTTTCAATCACTCTAATGGACAAATGGTTGCAGAGTTTATGCACATATCGAGCAAAGTGCTCCACGAGACACATATCATAGGAAGTCATCTGGATGTTAATATCTCCGTACTCATGTTCAGTCCCAACATTTATCTCTTTCATCTGTACTCTATCCCTTTTTCGCTTTGGAACCTGTATTAAAAGAAAGAAAAGAAAGCATTTTTTTTTTCCCCCAGTGCAGCTGGAAATACAAGACATTAACTGTTGCTTAACACAGGAGGTTGAGTTAGCACACTCTCATTTGTCAAAGGTTTGCTGCACCACGTTGAACACATCACAGCCCATCTGTGCTCATTTTCCCTGCCTTTGAAACTGGGATGACATTATCTTAGCAGATGTTCAGAAGTTGAGCAGCTCAGTTCTTGGATGGCAGCACTACAGAAGTGACACAAAAAAATACACACATACTATGATTAATTCCTTCCAGAAGAAACCAACGAGTGGAAATCAACCTGCTTTCAATCCAGCCCCTGCCTTCGAAGCAGCTGTCTGGATGAGTTACTGTTTCTTCATTTTGCAAAAATTGTCTTCTCTCCCAGTTCCAGAGAATGTAGAAAACTTAAATGCAAATACAACCTGCTCACAGCATTCAGCAATCATTTGAAGGTGCTCTGCCAAATTCACCATTAGGAAGAGATTCCTCCCAAATGACTGAAATTAAACAAGAATGTACTGGACAATATATATATATATATTTATGCAGTGTTGTACTTCACGTGACATAACATTCTCTACTGAGAGATGCAGCAGTAAACCATCACCTGCTCGCTTTTTAACATGGTTCATCAGCCATAGAATTAATAACACCAATGCTTGAGTCAGACTGTACATGGATGGGTCAGCTGAAAGGTCTTTGTGCCTACCTCCTTTGGGAGCAGATATTTATACTTCCCAATGCCATGTGTAGGACGGGATCTGTAGTGTCTTTGGTAACTCACAAGTGCATCACCTGAAAGGAAAAGCAGAGCAATCATGTATGCCATACAGCTGAAAACATCTTTTCTTTTAACAAACAGCTATTGATGCTTTGAGAGCCCAGAATCTGTGCTGAGGACATGAATCTGTCTTTAGTTGTTTGGGGGAAAGCAAGGGCAGGCCAAGCTTCAGCAGGTCCCTACCCCATTGAGCTGCCTGCATATCCCATCCAGCATGCTACAAAACCAAGCTGGTTAGTGGTGAGCAACAGGAAGGGAGAAAGAGATTAAAGGTGACTCATTTCCCAGGTAAATCCTCAGTCAAACAACAACAAAAAAAAGAGCAGTGGATGGTGAGGATATTGATGAAACCTTACATCTGTCTCCTCTCACGTGACAGCAGTGATGCTATTATGATGGATCTGAACCTCACTTCATTTTAAATTCAGCCCTGTTCAAATATGCATGTGCTAGGAAGTCAAATCAAAATGGCATCAGATTTATTTATACTTCTTTCTCCAGAGTAAAATGAAACCCTCAACAGCTTTCACTTTAATAAACGAAGCTCAGAACAGCAAAGAGAAACTGAACACCAAGGACCTAAACCACACAGATGCTTCCACATCAAAATCAAATTCTACTTTAAATTGCTACAGAGGACTCCACCAGCTCAATGAATGTTAAAGTGGGACCTCACTCAGCCAACAGGCTGTGGATGGTGTCAGCATAAAGCCACGAACAGAAGTATCAGCTCAAGCAGGAATGGGGAAGCAGGAGAAAAAAATAGGAGAAAAAGGTACAGGGGAAACAGCATGGGCTCTGGTTACTTAACCAGCCCAACTGTGACTAAAAGACATTCAAAAGGAAACAGGAATGCTCAAATGTAAAATATTTATTTAGGGTAGACAAAATTTTGGCTTGCATGCAGTCAACAAGAAGCCTTACCTGCAGCACACAGACAACTTTCTCTGGGTGTTGCTGCTCTGTAGGAAAGAAGATTATTGTTAAAACTCCAGTTTCACACAGCTGTGGAAATGTTACACATGTGGCCAAACTGCTTGAACAAAGAATCACATCCTCACGTCCCTCAGCAATAGATGAGATTCCATTACTGAGGAGACTCTCTCCTCACCCTTCAGCCTTTCAGCTCCCAGATATCAGATCCA